CATACCAGTTTCCCACTGCTGTTCCAGAGGTAAAGAGGGGAAATTTGGAAAACACTTGGCAGCAAAATTTCGAATTTGAAAATTGCGAAACAAATGGGTAGTAGAGAGATTATAACGAGAAGACAAATTGGAAAAACTGTCGAATACACCATCCACATATAAATGTTTAAACTGTTCTATACCTTTGTCACGCCACACTGAGAATGTCGAGTCCAAAAGAGAAGGGGGAAACAAGTGATTGTCGCTTAGAGGACCCGAGGAAGATGGCATTAGAAAATTAAAGTGCCGTCTAAACTGAAATCAGATTTTGAGTGTGTTAAGAACCACCGGATTATCAGTATACAGAGAGGGTTTTACAGGTAAAGAAGAATAGAGCAAAGCTGGTAAAGAAGAGCCCTTACATGACAGCTCCAATTTACACCACAAGGAACCAGAAGATTTTAGACAGTAGCAAAGTTTATGGATGTGAGCGGCCCAGTAGTAAGCTAGAAAATTAGGTAATGCAAGTCCTCCACTAAATCTGCATTGCTGCAGCAAAGTTCTAGAAACCCTGGGCGGCTTTCCTCCCCAAATGAAAGAACCAATAATCTTGTCCAGTGAAGCAAAGAAATGTTTCGGCAGAAATAAGGGAATTGACTGAAATAAAAATAAAAATTTTGGTAAGATGTTCATTTTAACAACATTAATCTTACCGATCAAAGAAAGGTGGAAGACTACCCCATCTTTGAATATCGGATGTGATCCTAGAAAGAAGAGGAGACAAATTTGCTGATTTAAGGCCAGATAAAGAGCGTTTTTAAGCTAATTCGTGGAGGTTTATCCTGCCAAAGGAATTTGGTAATTGAGGAGTCCAGAGATCTAAACCAGTCAGCTGGTGGTTTGTTTGGGATCATTGAAAATAAGTAATTTATTCTTGGTAAGACCATCATTTTAATTGTAGCAACCCTCCCCATGAGTGATATTGGTAAGGATTCCCATCTTGCAAGACCATCTTCCACTTTCTTTAAAAGTGGGATGTAGTTTAGTTTGGTTAGATCTGCTAACTTGGGGGAGATATTAATTCCCAGGTATGTGATATTCCCTGACTTCAAATGTGTATTAAGTAAATTGACAAAAGAGAAATTAATTGGTAGAACTGTGGATTTTAACCAGTTTATAGAGTAATCTGAAATTTTTGAAAAAGTGTTCATCAGTTCTATTGAATAGCAGAGGGAGGATTGAGAATTCTGGAGAAAGAGTAAAACGTCATCTGCATAAAGACTGATCTTATGTTCTATTTTCTTACACTTTATCCCTTTAATACCTGTTGTTTGCCCAATTGCTGCTGCTAGTGGTTCAATAAAGATAGCAAACAGTGAGGGGGAGAGTGGGCATCCCTGCCTGGTGCCCCTCTGAAGACAGAAGCTAGCTGATATTTTGTCGTTCGTCCTGACACGTGCTGTTGGTGAACTGTATGTTTGTAGCATGTTTATAAAGAAGTTCCCAAAACCAAATTTATGTACAGTTGCAAATAAGAACTTCCAGTTAACTCTATCAAAAGCCTTTTCTGCATCTAGAGATAATATACTAGTTTCTATGTTTCTACTGTAAGAGAAATCTATCAAATTAAGTAATCTACGTGAGTTTGTGGATGACTGTCTACCCTTGATGAAACCAGTTTGGTCAGGGTGTATTATGAAGGGGGTTACCTTCTCTAATCTTTTGGCCAGGGCTTTACAAATTATTTTGAGATCAACATTAATAAGGGAAATTGGGCGATAGCTGGTAGGAAATGCTGGGTCTTTGCCTGGTTTTAACAAGAGACTAATATTGGCTGAATTCATGTTTGGCTGTAATCTGCCGCTCTCTTCGATTTCCCTCACCATTCTGAAAAATGTTGGAGCCAGAATGATCCAGAATTCTTTGTAGAACTCTGCTGGAAACCCGTCTGGACCTGGAGCTTTCCTATTCGTCGTGGATTTAAGGGCTTCCTGGAGCTCCGCTGATGTTAGTGGCGAGTCCAGGACTGTAACTTGGCTGTCTGATAATTTAGGAAGTATTATCCTATCAAGGAACTCATTGATCTCATTATCTGATGGGTTTATCTGTGGTGAGTACAAAGTTTGGTAAAAGTCTCTTAAAGTGTTGTTTATGCTTTGAGGGTCATAAACTATATTCCCGGTTGAGTCTTTAACAGCAGATATGGTGATTTTCTCTTTATTTTTAATTGGCTAGCTAAAATTTTACCTGATTTATTGCCATGTTCAAAGTTTTCTATTCGTAGTCTTTGTGCTAAAAATTGTGTCTTTTTGTCAATAATTCCATGAAGTTCTAGTTTAGCTTTACGTAATTTGCTCATTGACTCTTCTTCTGTGGACGCCTCTAAAGACTTGATGATTTCCTCTAACTCCTGAATATGTTTGTTTTCTGTTTTTTTCCTATGTGATGAGAAAGAGATTATTTTACCTCTCATCACTGCCTTTCCTGCCTCCCAGAGAATAGATGCTGATGTTCCAGGCAGGTCATTATGTTCTAAATATGAAGCCCACTCCTTTTTTAAAAATTCTATAAAACCTTCGTCTTTAAGCAGTGATGTATTAAACCTCCAGTTTCTGCTTGGTGGGATTGTCTTCTTATTTACCAGAGTTAAAGAAACCGGAGCATGGTCACTGACAACTATGGGGTGAATCTCGGTGTCTGAAATGTCAGCCAACAATGAGCTGCTGACTAGAAAATAATCCAAACGTGAGTAAGAGTGGCGGACGTGTGAGAAAAAAAGTATACTCTCTACGGTTAGGATGAAGACATCGCCATGCATCACAAAGCCCATAATCACTCATGTACTGTTTAACTATGTTAGTGGATTGCCAATTGCGCTGAGTCCCAGCTGTACTGAGCCTGTCTGTTAAAGAATTCATCCAAAAATTAAAATCACCTCCAAGTATAAGTGGACAGTCCAAGTGTTCGGAGAGTACAGAGAAAAAATTATGAAAGAATGGAGGGTCATCAATATTTGGACAGTATATGCTGACAATACATAAGCTTTGGTTCTGTACAGATAATTTTATCATTATAAATCTACCCTCTGGATCAAAGACTGAGTCCAGTACTGTGAAATTGTTTTTGTGTATTAAAATAGCTACACCTCTTTGCCTAGAGTTATAGCAGGCAGAGAACATGCTGGGAAACTCAGGTGTTTTAAGTTCATCTGTGGATGTGGCAGATCTATGAGTCTCTTGTAACAATATTACGTCTGCTTGCACTCTCTTTAGCTGATCAAAAATCTTTAATCTTTTCTCTATGGAGCCAGCTCCATGTACGTTCCATGAGACAAATCTTAGTGCACCCATAGATGTGTGTGTGAGTAGCTATAATATGATGCCTTCATGTGAATAAGATGGAATAAGTATATAAATGTATAAAATAGTATGTTAATAAATAACAGAAACGTAAATAATAATAATAATAAAGATCCAACAGTGTTTGTGGTTGTAGTATTTGACGCATAAATTATGATGTTGTGCTGTTACATCCCCGACATGTGTTGGTAAAAATGTGAAGGAAGGGGCAACATAAGAACTGGTGGAGGAGTTTAAAATGGGTTAATTTGTACAAAAGGATATTAAAAAACACAAGCAAACTGATTTCTCTAAAAGGTTAACATTACAAAGCAAATTATCAGCTATAAAACACCTGGTAAAAACTTATTTTAAAAGCTTTACCACAACGGAAGGTGTTTACAACCGAGATCAGTAAAATAGCCACAGATGAGGTTAACCTTAAAACCCAAACACACAAAAGATCCCACTGGATTATCCTCAACTTCTGACTAAGAGTTAAAAACTACAAAGGTTTAAAACTCAAACAGATCCAAACAAAAAGGGGTTGAAGCTAAACAAATCCTGGAGGACAGCATAACCCCTGCACTGCTGCCTCCCAGACTGCTGAAGGCACAGCCTTTTTATACAGGTATTGGCAATCAGTGAAGATTCCTTGCAGCTGTGCTCCTCAGCAGCCCGGGAGAGAGGAGGAGGAGGGGCGGTGTCAGGCTTATTTAGCAGGACTTGCAAGTGATTCTGGCTGCTTCTCTCCACAGGCCAGCCTGGCATCCGTAACATGCTGTGGATTTTATATATAAGTGTGTGTGTGTGTGTGTGTGTGTGTGTGTGTGTGTGTGTGTGTGTGTGTGTGTGTGTGTGTGTGTGTGTGTGTGTGTGTGTGTGTGTGTGTGTGTGTGTGTGTGTGTGTGTGTGTGTGTGTAGTCTGACGCAGTGTTGGAAAGTTGTGTGGTTGTGCCGTACAGGTGTAAAGGTGCAGAAGCAGGTAAAGAGGAAGGGAAAATACAGATACAGGTTATAAAGAATAAAGAACTAAAAGAAAAGTGTATGGGGTGTGAGGTGGTGATGAACAGGTGATCTCATCATCTAGAAAACGGATTCAGCAGCTGTTTAATCCTGACGTGATCAAACCAGGTGAATCCTGATAAGAATAGTAAATGTCTGACCTGATGTTGGGCTAATACAGCCAGTCAGTCACTCCTCGCTCCTTGTAAAGCTTATTGTCCACATAAAGCTTATCCACCGAGAGAACAGCTCTCTTCCCATCCTGGATAAACTTTTTGCGCAGCGGAAATAGGACTCAGCGCCGATCCAGAATCTCCTTCGGGAACTGGTCATTTACGCTGAAATCTTTTCCTTTGAGCTCTCTTCCGTGACTTTTAACAAGATCCTTCTGCTTAAAATGTTCAAATTTAGCCACGATGGGACGAGGTCTTCTGCTGTCCCCTCTTTTAGCTCCAAGGCGATGTACCCGGTGAAAGGTGATGTTTTTACCGTTTCTTCGGGTATCTTCATTTGGGTCTGGAGAAGGTTTTTTTATTGTTTGCTCGCAGTTCTCTGCCCCTCCCGCCTGCTCTGGCAGGCCTGCAAACACCAGATTATCCCTCATGCTACGGGCCTGAAGCCCCAAAACTGTCTTTTTTTTACTGATTTTTGATGTGAAACATTTGATGTTTCCTGCAGGTTCCAGGAGACATGATGGACATGAATGTGTTGATGGCATGTCAGCTGCTGCTGGAGCAGGTTTTTAACGAGGGCAATAACCAATTGCTGCAGCAGCTCTACCAGCACCTGCTCTTCAATTTCCGCATCTGGACCAAAAGCAATTTTGCTGTTTGTTTGGGTAAGGCACAAGCAACACCCCATATATCCCATATGAATGCACCTGTAAATCTCTTTGTGTTTGCTGATGCTGTTTGTTCCAACTACCCCAAGAACAAAATGAGTCAAAAGAGAGAATGTTTTTTATTATGCCATGTAAAATCCGGCCAGTGTTCTGTGAATTTCTGTGTTTTTGCAACACAACCTTACATATTCGTTTGACTTTTCTAAATGTCAGCCTGAGGAAAGATGACAGCTATTTTATTTTCCCATCTAAAGCACATGTTCAGTACCTGGCATCTGTGATCAACAAAAGCAAGCAGAGCATTAAGAAGAAGTATGGAGTTCAGTATATTCTGGATACCATTCGGCTGTACTACAGGTAAACCAATATTAAATAACTCTAAAGATTCTGTCCTAAAGTCAGAGTTCAACTCATATCAGTCCTTCTACTAAAACCTATCTATTAAACTATGCCAAAATGCCTAGATTTTATTTAACGAGCTGTATAATAAATGTAAAGAGAGCTGATGTCAAAAGAAAAGTTACTGCCATTGAGAGTGGCTCATAAGTGTTGCCATAGTAACCACCTCAGTTATAAATGTGTGCAAATACATAGGCGCAAAGTCAGGAACACAGGCTAAAAACAGCTTCAGACAGATAGTTGCTGCCTATTTCAGGTTTGTTTTCTAGCTTTAATTTTCAGTTTCTGCTTTTGGTCACAGTGTGGAAAGAGATGGCAGCCCTCTGCCTGAGGAGAAAAAGACAATTCAGATGTCTCTCTTCACCCTGCTGAAAGATTTCCTCAAGTCCCCATCACCAGAGCAACTCCACAGCGTCCTTGCCTACATTCTTACTGTTGGAGAGGAGCATCAGGTAGTGCTACTATGAAGACATTTCTAATCTATTCAAGCAGGTTGAGCTTTTAATTTACCAGTTAAGACATTCCTCTGTCATCTGACGTTTTTATTTTAAGTTGAAGTTACGGCTTGTTTCTGCTACTCCTGATACTTTTATCTAGAGGTGCTGAAAAAAATCTATTCAAGTCTGAATCGGGATTCATATTTATAAAGGTTCAGAATCGATTCCAGGAACACAAATGTTTGGCACGTTACAGGTTTGAGATGCACGTTTGTATGTTTTTTGGCCTTTGTTAGGAGAGTCAGTACTCCGTTTACTTTTGTGGTCGCATACATTGGGATGATTTATTTTTGAATCTGCTGATAAGAGGGCGCTTGAATGTAATTTTTTTTCCATACTCAGAAATTTGAGATATTCTCATTTTTATTTTCTAAATTGATAAGTGAGTACTCAGGATTACTCGCGTGTTTATGTGAAGTTACTGATAAACGAGAGAACACATTTTCCTTTGTAAGAAATCTGAGGCACTGTTTTTTTAAACAGGTTTCAGACTCAAATGTTAAACTTGTTTCTACACATACTTGAAAAGTATTTGACCGTATTACTTTCAAAGCTACTGCTAGGTAACTACAGATTAGTTATATTTTACAAGGTAAGCAAAAATAAATGTTGCCTTTTGGTCAATAGATTGTTTCTGTTTAGTTTTAGAATCACTTTATTTTACCTTGTAAATTAGCTTTTTAAGCACGACCAGTTTAAAGTAAAATAAAAAATGTCCCGTAGCTTTAACTAACTTGCACAACAAAGTAGTTCATCCTGGAGCTGACACTCTTTGTTAATATTGATTGTGAATCGATTTAAATCGAGAATCGATTCAGAATCGAATCGGCACACCAAGAATCGGAATCGAATCAAATCGTGAGTTACTCTGAGATTCACATCCCTACTTTTATCCTCCCTCAGCCATATTTCCTGCTGGTTTATTTCCTGTCAGGTGGTGAACGCCTTAGATGTGCTGTATGAGCTCTTGACGAGCAGCCCTCGTCGTGAGCAGGTGGAGGCCGTGCTGATCGAGTGGGGTGTGGAGCAGCTGTACTGTTTGCTGCTTACTCCGAGCTTTGGAGACGAGGCCAGAAAGAGGATATTCAGGGTGAGAACAACTCATCTGACTTCTGTTCATCTCCAACTGTTCTCCCTTCAGATTTTAGCAAAACAATTTGTGTTGTTGCAGGTTTTATACAAAATCCTCAAGAGTGAAAAAGTATCTGAGCGCAACAAGCAGAGCATCAGGCTGAGGGATTCTGGCTATCTTGGCCTGGTTTGCTTTCTTGAAGACGTCCCCGTAACCCTGACAACAGTACGCTGTTTTTATGAGCAGGTCCTTGCTACAGGTAATACAAAAAGGTTAAACTAACTAGAACAAACGAGAAGGCCACCAAACAATAAGACAATGATATATTGATTGATTTATTATTTATTATCATTCCTTGATTTTCTATAACGTCTGTTTTTAAAATGAAATTTAACTGTAAATGTCGCATTTTCAGTCATCTGTAAATAACCTAATTGCCTTTATGACAGTTGTTGTGAAGTGAAGTTAAAACGTGTAAATTGGAAATATCTTACAGCTGAGCAAACACTTCTAATCTTTCAAAATAAAACTCTTAGGACTTTTATTTTGAAAATGACCAAAGTTACTTTAAAGCCTCAGTATGTAATATTCTTCAAGTCTTTAGTGCCATGCAGTTTAGAATAGGTATTGCAGCTACAATAGGCCGCACACAACAAAAAGGCAAGTTTTATTTATTGTTTTTGTTGCTTCCTGCAGTCGGCATCTCCCGCTGGGATTAGAGAACCCTTGTCTGTGTCCTGATCAGACATTTGAAGCAGCTGCTGTGTTCTCGCTCCAGTGCTTCTGCTGCGTATCTACTGCCTCAACCTCATCTCTCGCATCTGCCACGTCCTTGTCTCCCTTTCCCATGTGGCCATGTGCGCATTACCACAGTTATAAATGAGTTTGATGCTTGTAGTGTCATGCCAAAACACGTGCACATGGTTTTTGTGTGCACGTCAAACATTGTGTCAATGTGACACGAGTGAGGAAGCTAAAACTGGCATTTGTACACTGACAGTGCAAACTGTGTCTGAGCGCACAAGGATCTGCACAACTGTCAAACCTGCGACCACACTGTGGCCATTGATAAACATGCTCATGGCCACCTCACTGCCTGCTCGGTTTGTGGGGATCTGGACACACTAGGGGCGGGGCCTGTGAGTGAACGGCTCTGTCTTCTGATTGGTGGGTTCTGTCCTACTTCTCCCTACTTCCTCCTTCATTGGCCTATTGGCTTTCTCTTGGACCACATTGGCAGTGGCCAGACAGCAAATCTCTGCATTACTGCCACCAACTGGCATGGAGAAGGAAAATATTTTAGCCAAAATATTCTTTCATTTTTCATAAGTTCACTAGTTCGATAGCTACTTTTTAAAAATGTCTTTTATTTTTATCAAAGGTGGAAAGTAACGAATTACATTTAGTCACGTTACTGTAATTGAGTAGCTTTTTTGTGTATTTATACTTTTTAAGTCATTTTTAAAATCTTTAAAACTGCTAAATTTTCAGTCGTTACTGAGTAAAAAAGATGATGGGCTTCATTAAAAATCGGAACAAAAAGAAAGAGACACTTGCATGAGTGCTGCAACCGTCTCACCCGTGGAGGGTGTGGGTGTACACTTTTTTATTATGAGGACGTAAACAGCCAGACTTCCTGCAGTTTTGCTCAGAAACATCAGTTCAGTCCCTGTGATGCACTCGCAGTTTACCTCTCCCCCCATCCAGTCCAGCTGGTTGAAACATGCGTCTACGTCCACTGATGCTACGCCATCAGTATTCTGCTCGGTTCGTTTATTTATACTCCTCAAGTCCTCTACCTCCCCCCTCCTGGACCCCATGCAGTTTGCATACAGAGCCAGTCGGTCTGTAGATGATGCTGTCAACCTGGCCCACCACTTCATCCTCCAACATCTGGATATACCAGGAACCTATGCCAGGATCCTGTTTGTGGACTTCAGCTCTGCGTTAAACACCATCATCCCTGCTCTGCTCCAGGTCAAGCTCGCTCAGCTCAACGTACCCGACTCCACCTCCAGGTGGATTACCGACTTCCTGACGGACCGTAGGCAATCCGTGCGGCTGGGGAAGTCCATATTGGACTTCAAAACTACCAACACAGGAGCTCCACAGTCTCCACTGCGCTTCTCCCTCTACACCAAATGCTGCACCTTCAGCCATGACACCGTCAAACTGATTAAGTTTGCGGACGACACCACCGTTATCGGGCTCATCACGGATGGTGATGAGTCTACATATAGGAGGGAGGTTGACCAGCTGGTGTCCTGGTGCAGTAACAATAACTTGGTGCTTAACACACAGAAGACAGTAGAGTTGATGGTGGACTTCAGGAAAGTCACAGCCCCCCTGCCTCCCCTTGCCTTCAACAACACTCCTATCATCATCACAGACTCCTCTCGTTTCCTGGGCACCTGCATCACACAGCACCTCACGTGGGAGCCAACCCTCAGCGACATCATCAATAAAGCCCAGCAGAGGTTGTTCTTCTTGCGACAACTGAAGAAAGTAAAGCTGCCAGTCCAGATGATGGTGCAGTTCGACACTGCCACACTTGAGTCCACCCTAACCTCCTCCATCACAGTGTGGTTCGCTGGGGCTACTGTCAGGGACAGATGGAGACTGCAACGCATTGTGCGCTCAGCCGAGAAGGTGATTGGCTGCAGTCTTCCATATTTCCATGGCCTGCATGTTGTAAGGACCCGGGGGGGGAGCAGGCCGAATTGCAGGCAGCATCACGCCGGGGACACACCAGCTGCCGAAGCGCTGCGAAACGGGGGCCACCTTCATTCGGCGCCCTTGTTATCCTATTCTATAGACCACATGGGCCGCCGCGCGCCGCCGCGTGCTGGCGCTCCAGCCCGCGCCGTGCAGCGATCGTTTCGGCGTCTGCTCTATTTTTTTCGCGAGCCGCGGGTGAACCGCGTCAATTCTGGCAAGAAGTCAAACCTAGACATAAGAGGCAGGCCGGTAAATTTAACAAAATAAAGCATTTCAAAATACAATTCCGCGATAGTCAAATGTGTTTGTAAACATACACTGCATAAAGCACACACACACACACACACACACACACACACACACACACACAAACACACACAGTGAACTTGTGTGTGTGTGTGTGTGTGTGTGTGTGTGTGTGTGTGTGTGTGTGTGTGTGTGTGTGTGTGTGTGTGTGTGTGTGTGTGTGTGTGTGTGTGTGAGAGAGAGAGACCACGTGAAGGGGGTGTGGTTTTGGGTATCTTTCAACCGGAGCAAACAGGACAGAGAGGCAGAAAGTCATAGGACAGCTATTAACAACTGGTTCACACTAGGGCTGGGCGATATGGCAAAAATAGAATATCACGATTTTTCCAATATTTTTTCACGATTTCGATTTTATCACGATTTTTTTATCCATGAATAGCATAACTTCAATTGCGTATTAAAGAAGAGAAACATTGAATAAATAAACATTTATTCATATTAGGGATAATCAGCACAGTGCTAACACACTTATATTTTAAACTCACACCAGAGATGATAAAAGCTCTGAGAGAAACAATTACAAAAATCAGTTTTTCTTGTTTTTCAAGTAACTTAACATAAACTAAAATCGTAAACATATTTAAAGTGCAAACATGTCAATTGCAAACGTATTGTGCAAACATTAACTTGTTCAAAATACTATGTAGCTCCCAGTTGCTCATGTAGTGGATAGTTAAGCTCAAATACGGCTCTGATGTGCGGCTGGACCAGAGATCGCTTGTGGTAGCAAAAAACTGCGCATTCTGAATATTTTCTGCAACAAGTCTCTAAATAAAGTAAAAATTTCCAGTGCAGATTGGAGACAACCCATAGAAGCACTGATATGATCTCAGTTCAGAGAAAAATAGAACAGGTTAGATGCACCTAATAAATAAAATTACTAACAAACTCAGGAATCTTTCTTTGCTTCCCTGTTCTGGTGCTGAGAATATCACTAATGTGGGTCAAAGGAGATACACAGATGAATGCACCTCTTATTATTTGGAGACTACATTTACTGCAGCTGGCAGAGGCAGAGATTGTTTCTATTGATACACGGAGTTTACAGAATCATTTTAAATGTTAATAGGGGAAGACTGCAGGAGGGAGCGGTAAAATACAGGGGTCCCCAGCAAAAACAAGAAACTACGAGTCTGATGAAACCCGCTGGTTTTCCATCAGGCAGTCACGGGGCAGCTCCATCGACCCAGTGACCGAGCTCAGTCCGGTACCGACACCGGCTCGGCAGAGGGTGAACGAGCCGAGGCGATGTTGTGCTCTGCTTAAGAAGCGGTGTTATTTTCCTGCTTCAGAAGAAGCGTCCAACGTGTTTTTACGCTTTCTCCGAGACATGTCACGTCACTAAGTTGTTAGCGCCGCGCGCTAAGGAAACCCTGCGTTCCTCTTCGGAACGAAAACCTCGCTGTCGCTCTCAGCCGCGGCCGAAGCCATGTTTGTTCACACACAGGTGAAAACAAGCAGGGCACTAATATATTACTATGACTCACTCTGATTGGTTAAGGGTCAAACAAAGGCGTGTCATTCGCCTGAGGTAAGTTCCCTTTTCATTCAGAGGCAGAAATCCAACAGCAGAGCTGTGAATCGTGATAAAACGGTCTCTCAAAAATGACAGACCGTCAGATGTGTAGATCGTAAAACGGTCTAAAATCGTCACATCGCCCAGCCCTAGTTCACACACACACACACACACACACACACACACACACACACACACACACACACACACACACACACACACACACACACACACACACACACACGCTATAAAGGAGGGTTTGGTTAAAGCTAGCTCTTTCCAGGTGAGGTGGCTATCAATATGGTGGATCTGTTAGAATACAGGAAGAGGCTAGATGCATCCTTTGCTGTAGATCCAAATCTTTAATCTTGGTTGACGATAATCGTTAACAGCATTGACAACAGTCTGAAACAGTAAACATAAATAAATTATTAAGATAAGAAACAATTCCGGTGACAGCAAATTCTCTTGGAGAATATAAAATGATCCAGTATACCAGCACTCCGTACTTAACTAACCATATGTCACATATGTCTTAAAGTAAAATACTAATGAACCTTCTCATTCAATACAGAAAGGGGGAATGAGGCAAAACACATTTATCTTAATTAACCAACTTACAATCTAGCAGAGAAATTCAAACAATAGCGCCCTCTTGTGGCTAACTAAGATCTCCATAACTCACTCATGTGACACTGTCAGCCTTTACTCACTGGAGC